TAACTGACAACACCTCAGCACCTCAATTCCTTTGTGCGCACTTGCCGTTCACATCGTAAGCAACGTGGAAAGCTGCCGGTTTCAGATGACACATCTTTTGTCATTGAGAAGTTGTGGTTTTGTGTACTGATGAGGAGAAGAGACAATGCCGGTACTGGAAATCTCATATTTACTATGTGTTCCAGAAAACAGGCTGTTTCCAGCTCACATGGTGACAAACCCATTGTTTCATGAAGTATGATGCAAGTCTGTTTATACACATTTCTGTGCAGAAAGGAGGCCAAATCTATCTGCATATACAGTTTCGATTTTTTTCCAAATACGTCTCTCAAAATAGCAATGCATATTTTATGCCTCAGCAGCCTTCGTTTCGCAAGGGTTCATTACTGCTGGAGCTGCTCGGAGGTGTTTTGGAGAAGACTTTGGTTCGTCTCTCTTCCCTATCAGCCCGGGTCCAGTTGCTCAGTCCTGTGAGCTTTGACTCCATCATCTCTCTGGAGTTCTTCAAACATCATCTCACATCATGAGGGTGCAGCGATTCCTATCAACTTCAGTCCTTTTCTCTTAACCTCTTCCTTCCTATCTCAGTCCCTTAGGTATCTTTTTACACATTAAAAATGTTGGGGTGTTTACCTAGAAAGTTAAAAGCCTTATTTTCTGTCAAAATACCATAAGTTTTTATAAAAAAGGTGATGTGATGGTAATATGGTATAATATGATTAGATTTTTTTTCGTCTGCCATGATATGTAGTCGTACGTAAGATGAATTGTATTTTCTTATTTGATGACAGTTGCGTCTACTTTCCAGTTTTCATTAACAACTGAACTCCAGTTACTATGGTATGTTTTGCTTAAATTATAGTTACCATGGTGATGGTACATTTTTGTAAGGGTTGTCGATGTATGGCAAACATTCACTCTTATCCCTATAAAGCCTACTGGATCATATTTGAAACACAAAGGCCTCAGACTGATCAACAACTTTGCCGAAAAGCCTGTTGCTCACAGTCTACTGCATGCCTTCTATCGTCTGATTGATAGTTTATACTTATGTTCACCTTCAGGTCATGACGTGAAGTTTTTAATAAAGTAAATGTAAGAATAATATTTATATTGTTCTAAATATTTTAAGATGAATATTTACTGGACTGAATCAAATTTAATAGATTATGCATACATTATTTTAATCATTTATTTTGAAAATCATGTTAAAATGTGAGTAGCCTATCAAATGTGATATATCAGGCTTCTGATAAAAATGTATTGTATTGCATTGCATTATATGCTTTGACATAAAACACAATAACTCTATCTATAATACAACTATTAAAACAATAAAAAACTACAGAGCTTTAATTTTAAAACAGAAGCATCTTACTAAGACATATTATTGGGAGATATCAAGTGACAACTGATATTTATATGTATTGTCTGTAATGCTGTTATGAAGATCTCGTTGATTTACATTTTTGGCCATATAAATATCAGCACTATAAAACAGGTGTTTTTCCTAAAGTGTATGTACCCATATTCTCCTATATCACATTATATGGGCCATAAAAACCTGATGTAGCCTACCAAATATGATACTCAACAAAAACACATGCAATTTTACAACATGCAAGATGTTTTATAAAGGTTTAACAAACTCTTCCATTTCAAAAAAATGTTTCTGACTATTATCTCATATGTCAGGCTTTACAGGGTAAAGAAAATATAATAAACCTGTTTAGCAAATGTTAGAAAAAACAGGTTAAAGCACAGTAGCTTAAATGATCATGTTGATAATTAAAACACGCACGTAACAAATTCTATCATTGCAAAACATCATACATTCTCTTATAGGCTGGAGTCAGCATTTCAAGTAATACCGCATATCCAATTTAACAGGAAAACAGGATTATAATTGTTTCCTCACTTGTAACGTTATTACTGTGATTCGACCGTAGGCCGCTCTAATATTCAGTAAAACCACCGTGTAAAACATTGCTTTTATACAAGTTCAGTAAACAAACCATTAATACTTAGTAGTACTTCACATTTTTAGACCCAATATTTCGCCAGTTACCTGCACCGTTTTTGCTCAGCCAACGAAAACACACCTCCAACCGACAGAGCAGGAGAAACTTCACGCGTCTTCAGCAACACACAGAAGAGTTTCGCTCCCGAATGAATCATGTTCCTGAACGAATCGATCGGGTGAACGATTCACTTTATAACCCGCGCGCACCAGAGACCCGTGGACATTATGGAGTGCACTCGTTCAACCCCATACCTAACTGTTAAATAGTTAATTTATGCTAAGATATTTCTTTATTTAGTAGTTATGACTCGTGGCAGTTTAAGCAAGATTTTAAAACTAACAAACAATAGGCCAACATAAGTCACGTTTGGAATTTTAGAATAAAAGGCTTTTTAATTTATGGGAATAAAAAGTTAATAATTGAGACTTCTACATTTTGTTATACAATACACCTAGTCATACCTAAAATAAAATGCATACGTGAAAATGTATGCAAGTAAAGCTTTATTTAGCCTATATAGCACCTTTTAAAAACAGTGTTTACAAAGTGCTTTATGTAACATATTTCTGCATTTTAAGTAAGTAGCCTAGTCTGTTACAGCTACTGCTATGAAAAAACTAAAAATAAACAACAAAAAAACCCCCCCATTGATTAACATTACAATCTAGAAGAATTTAATCTCACATTTTGGCCATAGTAATACCAGCATCTGCACCAAATAGCATATTTTGCGGAGTCTGTGCCTGTGAACAAAACTGATGTTTTTTTTCCTGGAGTCATAAAATGTGAGCCATAAAAGCTTGATATTTCAACAATGACAGTGGTTCTTAATCACAAACCACCAACACTTATACAAACTTATGCATTTTTTTTTAAATATATATTTTGTATTTTTGCATTCTTTTAAAAAAGAAAAAATCAGACTATCATTTCATATGTCATGCATTACAAGGTTAAAGACAACTATTTTTTTTATCTAATTCATGCACATAAACTTACATCATTGTGGGAGTCTCAGTCCTTACTAGCAAATAAGAATAAATTGTTATCAGCGTATGCTTATCTCTTTAGAGTACAAACTGAAGAGCTCTGCCTTATGAAGTGCAAGCCCACCATCTAGTGGTAAAACATCAGTAATAGTACCAGCCACAATCCTACTGTTTTCAATCTCCAAACATCTGCCATTAGTGCGGATCTAGTAAAGCATGATTTAATATTTCATTAATTTATTCAAACAGCAATTAAAGTAGAAAAATAAAATGCAAGCAAGTGCATGCATGGTTTTAAGACGTTTATTTAAAAAATAAAATAGAAAAAAAATTACATAAAAATATTGAAGGAAAACAAAAACCATTCCTCCGTCTGACCTCTTGGATGCTGGGTGGCCACACTGAGGGCTTTCAGTGTAAGGATTGACAAGGAGTGCTTTTGGCCACTGCGACATATCAGACGTCAGCAAAAAAAAGGGTTACATTTAAAATCCATCACTGAGATTCAATGAGGAGTGTCACACTGTATCAAGCAAGTACATCACCACAAATGTCAAACCATTACAGAGTGAAACACTTCCATCTTTCTAACACACCTTCACAGATTCACTCGGGAAAAACAGTGAGCCATTTTCATTCAGATAAATCACCGATAAAGTAGGTCCTTATGTGAACCGAAGGAGGGGGAGTGTTGCCTCAATGTCTGACCCATTTTGCACAAGATGCTGGTTCTATCCAAAGCAGAAACTGCTATTAGTTACATTTGCCCTATCGCATTGATAGGCAGGCGAGTCAAGAGTTGCAAGGACAATCCGTAGTCTCCGTATCAGATACGATTTTGTAAAATGCGTCATGTAAGTTTGTGGCAATCAAAGCCATTCCATACAGACCGCAAGACATGGTTGTAGTGTTGTAACAGCAGTAAAATAGTCCGGTTGATCTCCAGGAGGAAATATTTACTCCGACAAGACGTCTGGCTGCTCTTCCTCCATTAAAACAGACTGAACTTGCATACAGGAACTGTTCACGTGTACCTTGATGCCTCGCTCTGAGGCCTGGGTCTGTTAACGGTCACTCCGGTTGAGTTTTTCCACAAGATTTACAAGCAAACGGTCGTCGTGAGGGACACAGGAAGAGAGATTTTCAAAACTCCACTTGCATAGTAACAATAACCTGTATGCCTGTGATGTTCCGAGCAACAGCAATACAGTTTTAGTGTGCCATATACAAACAGACCCCCCCCCCCCCCAATAGGTAATTACCAAAAAGGCATATATTAGCGCAAGTACCTGGCAATAAATGCATGTCAAGATTCCAGAATGGAATCAAAATAAATTCCCCTTTCTCCACTAATCCGATTCGGGTGCCCGTTCAGAAGTCGAAAAGGTCCGATTAGGGCACCTTGCATAAAGCTGCACTGATCTGGAGTCTGCTCGCACGTTCATTAGAGCTTCTCTAAAATAATTCACGTCTCACACTTAGCTAGAGTGATTTAAAAAGGACACACACACACACACACACACACACACACACACACACACACAAATGAAAGCGCGTACAGGCTAAGAGCTTGAGCGTTTTTCGATGTCTATCGGTTCTCAATCTGTTAAATCCAAGTCCTAAAGCCTTAATGTCACACAACTACAACCTTAAAGACGAACAAACGAACGAATGAGACGAATAAAAGCAACAGAGGAGTCTCTGAAGCTCAACACAAAGTGGGAAATGGCGGCACCTGTAGGCAAGATCGACACTGGTCGCTTTAACTCGCTCTCGTCCAGGTGCAATTTATGCCGAGAAAAGGGGAAGAGGGAATATAAATTCTCAAAAACAGTTTTAAAACAGATTTGAGCCTGTCTGACAGGATCTGTAAACGATGAACAAAATTAAAAACAGTACAAAAATAAAAACATTTTTACAAAAACAAACAAAATGCTGGACACAGAAAAGAAAGAAGGAAACAAAACCAAAAAATTAAATGTTTCCAGAGTGAGCAAAAATACAGAAATGAAGTTATTGCACAAAAAAAAAAAAAAGTAAAGGTTGCGTGATGTGTACAGTCAATACAGTGGGGAGCTCTGGAGGCATCTCGAGTGCAGGATTCGAAGCCAGCGTTACACAAACATACACCCCGATACAACAAACAAACACTTGAAATCCACTGAATCCAGTTCATCCCACATGTGAAAGGTGTCACGTTTAGAACGAAATGTGTAGACAGGAAAACAAAAGAGCATGAAACACACACACAAACATACACAAAAAGGAACGTTTCACCTGTCAACCAGGAAGTTGTGGAGTAGACGACCAAAAAAAACAGTTCCTGTTCTTGAAGCTTCCTCAGGAAGATTGCACAGGTCAAAAAACAAAACAAAAAAACATACGAGTCTACATATACATGCACAGATTCAGTGGCAGACTGAACTACTTAGCACCGCCATCACAACTACTGAACGAGGAGCTGGGTTGCAAACGCTGGTCTCTCTGTGCTCACACCATCAGTAGGAGGGCTCAATGAGTTCTCATCAGGAAGCGAGGAGTGGAGAGGGAGCTTCCGGAGGGGAGGCGCGAGGTCTTTATCTGCTGACGCTGGCCTGCAGACTGTCCCTCTTCCTGCGGCGCCAGGTGTGGCGGTTGTATTGGATGTGGCCTCGGTTGGAAAGGACAGGACTGTGCACCACGGCGGGATTGTGGAAGCCCTTCAGAGGGAACTTGGGACCTGTCTGCAGGAGATAAGACAAGATAGGGCAAATTAGGACGATGCTAGCAACTGAAAAAAAAAAAAAGCTCAGCATACACAGAAACTGGATTTTAAATATATAAAATTTAGAACAAATGCATATTCAAAAGTATGGGGAAAGTACTTATTTTGGAAAGTAATAATTATTTTTATTCAGCAAGGACACATTAAACGGACCAAAAGTGACAGTAAAGAGATTTATAATGTTACAAAAGATTTCTATTTTAACGAATGCTGGTCTTTTGAACTTCTATTCAAAGAACCCTGGGAGAAAAACAAAACAAAAAAACAAACATTGTTTCCACAACAATATTAAGCAGCACAACTGTTTCCAACACTGATAAGAAATATTTCTTGAGCAGCAAATTAGCATTTTAAAATACATTCAAAAAGATGTTAATTATTTCTAAATATTTTATACATTGCATTACACAATATTACTGTTCTACTGTATATTTGATCAAATAAATGCTTCCTTGATGAGCATAAGAAATGAAAATGTTTCATAAAAAAAAATCAATATATATGTATATATCAATTGTAGTATTTAATTTTGAACAGTAGCGTATATAAAAACAATATTAAAAAGACATTTTCTTAATTTTGACATGCAGTAAAAGCAAAAAGTCAGTTAGCTTGATGTTTTAAAAAGGATCACCAGTAGGCCACAAGAGACTACAAAAGGGTCCATGGAAAACTGCAATAACTAAATAAAGAAAGAAAAAGAAATAATAAATAAAAAAATTAAAAATAAAAAAAAGGCGGCAACACAAAAAAACAGTCATCTTTATCTTTTTCAACTTAAGTTTCTTTTCCCTAGTATTTTTCTATTATTGATACGTGGGCAGAGCAAGTTATTTAGTTCATGACTCTGATTTGACGTAGTTGGGCATTACATTTCTTTCCCTTAATTAAAAGTATAGTTCACCCTAAAATTAAAATTCTGTCATCATTTACTCACCATAATGTTTCTCCAAACCTGTATGACTGTCTATCTTCTGTGGGACACAAAAGATGATAGTTTCAGAACCCATTGACTTCCTCTGTATGGTCAAAAAATATAATGGAAGTCAATGGGAACTGAATGTTTGGTCACCAAAATTTTTCAGAAGTCAGTCAGTCAAACAGGTTTCAAATGACATGAGGGTGAGTTAATGGTGACAAATTTAATTCTGGAGTGGACCGTCCCTTTAATTTGTCATTAAACTAGTCGTCTTGAAGGAGGAGGGAAAGTTGGACTCAGTGTCAAGATACACACAGCATGTAGAGGAGAGCACACGCGGGACACTGCCTACCTTGGGATGGTGGTGGGGAATGGGCAGAGGGCTGGGGGGAAATGGGGGGACTGCAGGGGGGAGCATGTGGAGGTATGGGGGTAGTCCATTTGCCATACACACCTGTCTGCCAGGTAGAGCGTGGAGAGAAAGATTGCCTGGGATTGACACTCTCGCCTGGAGAAACACAAACAGGGTGGACGTTTCCCAACCATCAAAACATCATCATCATCATAGTTAGCTACCAACCAAAACAGCCCCTCACCTGGGTGGCCGGAGGCATGGCGAGTGCTGCCGCGATGCTGGCTTTGCCCGTGCCCATCTGAAGCACTGGTGGCAGGGGACCCGGTGCCAGGGTCTGAAGAGGGATGTGGGCTACAGGTGGAGCGACATACGGTGTGGAGTCAGAGTCCTGAAGGAGCAGAAGTCAAATATGTGAGAGGGAAAGACAATCTAAGGAATAATAAACCTGTAAAAGCCTGACATATGAAATAGTCAGAAAAAAAAATATATATATATTTTTTTTAATTATTATTATTATTTTTAATTGAGCAGTGTATTGAACCTCTACACACAATCTTAAAATTACATGATTTTTATATTTTGAGTATCATTTTTGATACATCAGGCTTTTATGGTTTCATACAAAAATATGCAGTTTGGTGCAGTTGCTGATATTAATATGGGCAAAAGATGAAATTCTGATAGCTTGTAATGCAAATCAATGAGATCTTTATAACAGCATAACAGACTACTCACATAAAATACATATGTGACCCTTCACCACAAAACCAGTCATAAGGGTAAATTTTTCAAAATTGAGATTTATACACGATGCTTACGATATCACTGCCTGACAGCGAGGATGCAGAAGAAGCGGAGGAGTGCTGTTGAGGGCTGGAGAGGGACATGGGAGAGTCTGCGCTGTGAGGGGACACCGAGTCCCTCTGCTGCTGGTCCTCCACACCTACACCCAGCAGTGTGCCTGTCTCCACCTGCTCCACTGAGTCTTTATGAGACGGACCTGCATGCAGAAGACACCAAAAACATCAGCCATACATACAAGTTACGCCAAATCAGAGCAGGTTACATCTGAAAGATGGCTGAAACTGGTGGATTCTGTCAAAGCAGACTGAGGACTTCCATAGCCACTTTTCAAAAGGTCACATACGCCATTTCCAAACTAATCTACCAAGCGTCAGTTTGATAAAACACATTAATCACAGTCAAAGTCATGAATAAGATGTGTGAAAGGGATAAAATGCTGTTGAGGAGGACACTTGCTCACTTCAAGGGCACCTACAAAGTTACGCTTCATCAGAACGCATTTCAAATCCAATCATATCAATACACTGCAAGGACAAAATGCAAGGGTTTGCCAAAGTGACCAGGGCTTGAATTTTGGCGTGGGATTGTGCATAATTCTACTGATTCCCGCAGTTTCCGTGCTTGTAACGTGGGAAATTCACGCAAATCTTTCAGGGTGAAAGACGCTCGGGACAGATGACGGAATGTATCGTTTGCACGTGCTTTTGAGTCTGATGCAATTTCAAGTTTTCCTTTCTCTTTGGAGTGTTACAAGCTGTTCGTGAATAGATAAGATCCCTAAAGTTGCAAAGACTAAAGTCTCAAACCCAAAGAGATATTCTTTATAAAAGTTAAGACTCGTCCACGCCCTCCTAAAACGCCTCGTTTAAACACGCCCCCACCTTTACGTCACTGTGTGGGACGATTTGCATAACACCGCCCAAATGTTCACGCAAAGAAAGAATTTTACTGTTATACCTACCTGAAAAACTTAAATACAATAACAAGATAAAACTAAAATGAACTGTGCTTGTGCCATTGCTTGTCATTTATATATTCTTATTTTATTACTGACTGTTTACTTTCCTTTTTAGTTAAAATAAATTCAATTCAGAGTTTGAAATCAAAGTTCTTTTTAAGTATCTTCCTCACAATATAAATATGAATCAACAACATTATAAATTGTAAAACACAAATACACTGGGTGACGAAACATTTAGGTTGGATGATTGTAGTTTAAAAATGTCTAAAAAAATATACCCTAACTCCCCCCTCAAATTAAAAAAAGTCGAATAAAGTCTTAAAACTAGAGCCCGACCGATATATCGTTTTGCCGATATTATCGGCCGATATGAGCCTGTTGCTGATATATCGGTATCGGCGAATATGTCGTCGATATGAAATTTCTTTTACAGAACATATAACGCAGATAAAATGCTTGAAATGGTGTAATTACTTAGTTTGTCCAGCAGAGCGCGCTCTATTGTTTGCTACTGGCAACCTGGATGAAACGCTTTTGAAGCTTAAGTCTATGGAAAACCATTGAAACTTTGAACGGCCATATCTCCGTAAAGGCACGGCGAATCTGCACCAAATTCGGGGGATCCCTTCAGCTCGAGGAACCCTCTCGAACGCGAATCGAGTTTACGTCTAGAGGCCCGCTTTCGAATGAGACCACCCCCGCGTGGATAGCCCCCGGGGTTCGGGAGTTACGGGTGGTTAAATGCGCGGTCCAGCGCCGACCGATCAAGCGATCCCGGGGTGCTACCGACGCGTGGAGGGTGGCGATTGAGAGGGCTCCTCGAGCTGAAGGGATCCCCCGAATTTGGTGGAGATCCGCCGGCGCAT